AGTCACGGTTCTTGATCAGTTTGATGCTATTAACTAAAAAAGCTGCTATCTTTTGTGATATTTTATGTTTCATCTCCTACACGCTTTTGTTTATGCAAACCACAAAAGAGCTGCTGAAGAAATTACTCCCTTTTTTTCCTTGTTACCTTAATGTGAGAGGGGGAAGGAGGGGGCAAATTCATGCCTGTGGTGCATGTTTACTTCCCCACAATGGGGCCTGCTTTGTGGTCTCCCCTTTCTCCCCTCTTTCCTCATGTTTTCCAGGAACATTGCCTTGTAAATTGCATGGACTCTGATTCTCTGATACCGAAGTAAGGGTGCAGTCCTTGGCCTCACTGCCCCCCCTCCTTGTTGCTGCTCAAGCCTTACAAGAGATAAATATTAGGCAGTTTTGTACCTACGGGTAGATGGTGGGCTTCATTTTTATCCCATGAGTGCCTATTGGGTAGAAGGGATGCTCCCACGTGGGTAATTCCTCTTGTGGAGGGGGGGATTGATCCCTCCAGGGTGGGGAGACATCAGTGTGAGCCAGGAGGGAGCCATTAACTCCCAGGAGGGGAATATCTTGAATTTGTGGGTGATTCTCACCATGGTGTGTTGCGTGTAGGCTGGCTTGCCATGGGCTGCTTGGAGAGCGGGGCTCATTTTGCAGTGTGCCAGGGTGCTGCCGCTGCAGGTCCCGTCTGGGGTGGCTCTGCTGGAAAGGGTGGGTTGTGTTGCTACAGTCGGGGTGTGAGAGCTGATACAGTGCGTTTTCCAGGCTCAGCAAAGCCTGTCACTTGTTTAATAGTTTAAATACAGTTATGAAGTGTCATTTGGGACTCTTGGCTTCTCTTCATTCTGTTTTTAGTGAGTTCTTAGAAAGTCAATTTTCTGAACATGGCTGTTTAATTTTTAGTCATGATAATGTCACATGTTTAGGCAACTGGGGATAGTGCTATTCTCATCTGGCTTCAGGTCGTGTGGTGGAGAATTCAGCACTGCCATGCACCTAGCAAAACCTGAGTCTCCCTCTGTTTTACTTCAGAGATGTTCATTTCATCAAACAAGAAAGAAAAAAAAAAACTTGTCCCTTAAGCATGGCTGGAGAAAAGGGCCTTTGTCTGGCAGGAACAGGCAGATGCTGTGGAGAGCTGCAGCCTGCGACCCAGCTGGTCTGCAGCCAAATACTACTTTCAAAGAGCTATCCAAAATCCACCGCGCACCCAGATATAAGAGCTCTCCTCTGTTTGCTTACCGCAGGGTGATGTCTGTAGGTGTTTTGTGTTCCCCAAAAGCACCCGGGTTGTAGGCGGGAGCAAATGTCCAACCAGATTGATGGTGAAACTCCATGGAGCTGCAACTTTCTCTCTGTAAACAGGGGCACTGCTGTTTTGTTTGTCTTTTCAAGGTTCTGTGGGAAGGGGAAGCGGAAGATAAGGTTACATCTGTCTTAAATCCATGACTTTTTACAGAGATTAAAATCCCAGCTGAACACATCTCTTTGCTATGTAGAGAGAATAGTTTAATAATTCGAGCAGACTCCGTGTACATGTCTGCAATTAGTGCTGTGGCTGCCAGAGGGGTGTGAGGATAGCAGGAAGCTGGCAACAGAGCTGTCTACAGAGATAGTAAAAAAAAAAAAAAAGAAAAAAAGAAAAAAAAGGCACATTTTCAATGCAAGTGCTCTTTTCTCCCTTTTTTGTAAAAGATGAACTCTCTGGGTGAAATATGCCAAGCTGAAAGCCACAGACAAAGAACTTCTTTATTTTGAAAGCAAATATAGATACAGGTTCTAAGGGTAAAATTGTCAGTTTCCTCCTGAAATTGCCCTTTCCTGTTCCTGAGTGCAGGGGTGGTTGCTGCCGTGTCAGAATTGAGGGTTATTCTGCGGCTTTCCAGCTCTGGAAGTGGCTGATGACTGCTAAGGTACATGCGGAATTAGAGACGGGAACGCGGAGAGGAGGAGGAGGAGGATTGGCAACGGGAGAACGTGCTTTGAAAAGACAGAGGAGCAGCTTAGGTGTAGGTGGGAGTTTCAAGGAGCTGGAGGCCTAACTGCTCCTGGATGGTTTCTGCTGTAGCTGCTGCTCAGATGCCTTTTCGTTTTTGATTTTCTGAGCAAATGGAGCTGCTTTCAATGAAACAATTGTTTTCTTAACAATTTAAAAAAAAAAATCAAAGTGGCCTAGCTTGAAGTGTTCACTGTAGCAGAGATGTGTATAACATAGGAAAGATTCTTGTAAATCAAGTAGTGGCTTTTTGTAATTGCTGCGTGAGAAGTCCAGATCCCTAAAATTGTCTGTTCCCTGAGTTCAGTAGCTGTGCAGTCTGTCCTGTGGCAATTGTTTGAGGCTTCTCTATTGACTGGTATTCAAAGTTACATCACAGGCCATTAAAAATAAGGTAAAAAATTGTAATGAAACTAGAGAATCATTTTAAAAACTGGTCATTTATTTGCTATCAAACAATTCTATTGTAAATGCAAATTCTTTTCTTTCTCACAGCATGCTGCTTTGCAGCTGCATGTGAAAAGCAGAAAGCACGAATGTTGATGAACATGTTGAACATATTGAACATCCTTCCCCACCCCAACGTCCTCTTTCTCCATGGTTTTGGGAAGTTGAATGTTTATTTCCTTCTTTGCTTTTCCTGAAGTGGTTTTAGGAAAATTCCCCATTAGGAAACAGAAAAAAACCAAAACAAAACTAACGTACTTAACTTTAATCAAATGGAAGAAGTAAAATAACTTTTGATACTAATTTCTTCCATATCAAAACAGTAATAGACAGAAGGCTAATAGAAATCTTTATTTCTGGATTTGCCAAAAGTAGCCGAGTAGCCAGTGGTCATTTTATCTTTCAGTTGAGTCTACTAGAATGTCTACATAGTGTCAGACTTAGTCAACACTTAGGTATGATATTTTCAGTGATGACATCCTCAGATTGGATGACACTGGTGATAAAGTAGCTGTGTGTAGAAACCAGGGTACAAATATTGTAGTGACCCTATTTCAGCGTCTGCTAGTCATCAGTCAGAATAATGCATGGAAGAATTAGAAAGAGGGAAATGTTCTAGCCAGCTTTAGGAAAATATGCAAACAAATATAATTGATTCTCGCCATTAACCTAAATGAAAAGTGTGTAGACTGTGGGGAAAAAAATCATCCCTAAGAAAGTCACTGCTTTTTTATAGGTTCATCCTTGACTTCTGTCATGGTTGTGAAGCATTTCTGTCCCTTGTTTATACTTTAATGGCTGCCTGCCTTGTTTTAATCAGTGTCTTTATTGATGCACCAGGGTGTTCAACTAGTCTTGAGCATCCTTTTCCTATCTTCTTTGTGTAGTGGGGAATTGTAGTTTATACCTTTATCCTTGCAGATGTTGGGAGGCAGCCCTGGATGTGAAGTGCTAGTGAGTCCTTGGGTATCAAAATTAAAATAAACAAGGCTTTCTAAGGTGGTCATGACTCTTTTGCTGAGTCATCTGAGAGTTTGTTTAGTAGTGTTATCATTTTCAGTAAGTAAATATGAGGCTACAAATCTGTTTTGCCATTTCTAAAGGCAAAACTTTAGCTAGCTTGCTATTCCAGCATAGCAACTGTGGTCCTCTGTTTGTTGCCTTATGTTTAGTAAATATTTTCTTTTCCTCAATGTCCGTCAGAATTGACTGAAGCCTTATTAATTTTGAAAGAAGGCACAGTTAGCATTTGTGAGCTTCTTGGAAGAGGCAATCGAACTTCCAGGGGACTCTGTGAGAGCCGGCTGTGCTCAGTGTTTTCCAGCGTCAGGCTTCAAGGCCACAGGTGCTGCTGGAGCTGTGAAATGTGTGTGCGTGGAGGTGTGAACACACCGCTTCCCTCATGGATTTATACAATATTGACTTGTTTAATTCTTAATTTAGCCTACAGGAAGCCAAATCTTGAATTTCAGTGTTTGTTTCTGCAGGAGAGAGCAAGACGAAAAGCCAAGATCAATACTGCTTGCAAAAACAGAGCAAATCAAACAGACTTAGACTTTTGTAGGATCATGCCCCAATCGACAAAGAATCCTATATAAGATGGTAGATAATGCCTGATTGTTTGGAAAAGCTTGTTACAATTCATTGTACAAATATTTTTGTACAAAAATAGATTTCTTTGTGTGAATGAGATGAACAGGAATGGTTTCTTGCAGTGCAGTGTCTTGATCTGTCAAAGATAGTCTTTTGACATTGGAAACAAAATCAAGAAGAGATGCAGAGTTTTTGGCTGTTGATGGGAACTGCATTGGAGTCTCAAGGAAGTAGATTGCGAGATTTGGTTTGTGCTCATTTTGAATTAGAAACAAACACAAAGTTATCCTACTACATAACAGCCATAGCATGCACTGTCAGTGTAATAGATAAAGTGGTAGTACTGGCTGTCAGGAGCTTTAGCTCTGGGGCATAGAAGCTGAATAGGGGCTCTAGTCCTAGGTGGAATGCGACTCCTAAAATAGATACATAAATCAACTAGGAAACCCATTTTATAGCAAATGTGTAAATTCCTTGGCTGGGGACCTGCATGGGCCTGTTTTCCTAGAGTGGTTTGTATGTTCTGCGCAGCTAAAATAGACATACGTAGTGTCAGAGTCTCTGTCTGATTGTGTTTCCTTTTTCTTCTCTGCTTCTATGAACATTAACTGAATATAGTTTATTCCACACACAAAGTGTTCTGGTGATAAATCCTGCAGGATCTTTCACACTATCTGGGTGAAATGTGCTTTCCCATTTTTGGTGGTGTGCTCTAGTGAGTACCTTTCAGAGTACAAGGGAGGAGGCTGCTTCTGTTTCCCATTTTCATTGCAAGTTAATCACAGGCTCTTCTGTTGTAATGTATGCCTCTGAGAAGACTTTTGTTCTAGCTGTAGCTCTTCAGCTTGAAGTAGTGATTGGAGGAGGGAGGAGGTTGTAAGGCAGGGCTGGTAGATCCTGCTGCTGACTGGCACGGATGCCCAGTGCAGATACTGGAACTGTTCTGATCAATGCTTGCCTGTTGTTGGCATGACAGACAGGCAAGGAGATAAACCTCCCCCACCCCCCTTTTTATCTCCACAGCACTTCACAGAGTTCCTGGATGAGTTTTCACCCGATGTCCTAGGCCAGCTCTTGAATGACCCCTTCTTGTCTGAGAAGAATGAAATAATGGAGGTGGAACTGTCTCCAGCATCCCCAGCACCCCTCATCCAGGCAGAGCACAGCTACTCCCTCTGCGGGGACTCTCGACCCCAGTCTCCCTTGACCCACATCTCGACTGATGACAACTTTAATGAAGGTAGTACGCACTGACCCTTTGTTCATTTGTCGTGATGATGCAGTCATGAAATGCTTCTGGTGGGGTGATGATGGACTAAGGGTGCATGTGAATGCTCTTTGCTAATTGGTAATACAACTAATAAAAGCTGTGAGAACATTTTTCAATGTGAGACAGGATTTTTGGAGATGATCCGGAAATATCATCTACATAAAGCCTTCCCATTTTATATTTCCTAACTGTTTTATGTGAATATTTTTAACTTTATACATACAGGATATATTAATTGTGGCAGGAGAAATAAGCACAAACTTCAGAAACCAAGCTTCTCTGGAAGTTAATAGGGAGAAACTTCAAACTAGGCTAAAAGTGAGGGGAGTTTCCTTTGGGGAAAAATCCTGAAGAAATTCAGACTGCTGAGACCACTGGGTAATTAACAGAGCTCTAGTCAAATGATGTTTTAAAAAGCCAAGAAACATTAACAAGTGGGTTTAAAAATAGAAAATGAATGGAAAGTATTTCATCTTCTGTTCACTCTGCAGAGTGTTTCGTAAGAGAGGAGGAGGAGGAGGAGTTGTTCCTGATGTTTGGGATTTTATTTAATCTTAACTCTGGAATCACACTCATGACCTTGCAACTTCAAAAAGTGAAGCTCAGAGAAATACTTGAGGAGGTTGCAGAATTACAGTTAACGTTGCTGGCTGATAGATATTCAAAGGCATCACCCTGATGATTTTTCAGTACTTGAGTCTGAGAGAGCAGGAGGGAGGGGGGTTTTGTGCGTGGCGATACTGCAGGTTTCGACACTGGAGGTTGAAAGCATCTCTGTTGTTAGATGGTGGAAGTGCACAGCGCTCCTGACAATTCTGGTGAATGCCAGTCCCCTTGGTGGAGTAAGGTGACAGATACTGGGAGCACCAGTGTCCTTTTTGGGAGCAGAAGGGTACAGGGTGTGGAGGGGGAGGTCCATGTGCTCCAGCATGATCTCCTGCTGCCGGGGAACTGGGAGTGATTTTGTGGAGTGGCAGGGGCTGAGAAACGAGGTTGGCTGAGGGACATCTTATATAAAAAGGCGAAAAAATTTACATTCTCCACGTAACCACAGCACTGGGCAGATCGCTGGTCTCTTGACAGCTGTCATGTTTTCATGGTTTTTCCATGGTGGGGCTTGATGATTCTGCAAGACCCTGCCCTGCAGGACTGGAGTAGAAACAGGCTATTGTGGAGGCTTGTTTATGACACTTGCATGCCTGTGTGCACATGTGCTATGGACACATGTGCTATGGACCTGCATGCCTGCAGTCAGCAGCAGTGCAAGGAGGATGGCACAGAGCAGTTAAGCTGGGTCTGGATGCCATTTCAGAGGTTTGCCCTTTGCTCTAAAGGACTAAGGGCCTAGTGTTGTGCACAAAGCACGTGGCAAACAGGCTTTGTTCTCACTTTGCAGTGAAGTCAATAATGTGATGCTACTTCTTTGTAACTCTCTTAGCAGTAGTCCTGGCAATGAGTGCTGGTGGGTTGTTTCCCAGGGTGTGCAGAAATGCCATCCCCTCCTAGGCCAGTGGCTTTTATGGGCAGGCAAAGACAGGGGAAATGCAAAGAGGAAAAACCCAGGATTTTCTAGGGCCAGGCCCCTTAGCCCATATGGCTAGATAATGCATGCTTGGAAGTGGCACCTGTTAGGCGCCTTGTTGTTGCTGTCACACCAGCAGTTGCTGTTGGCGTGACCTGAAGCTGCAAACTCCTTTCAGCAAAGGCAACTTTTCAGGTGCCGTGTGCTAGTGTATGTTGAGATGCAAGCTGGCTCTTCGTGTCACTTCTAACTTCGTGCATGTTAACTGTGTAATGTTGATCAAGTAGTCAGCCCTCAGGTGCCGTTTCTGTGCCGGGAGCGGGCAGGTGGCTGCGGAGCCCTGTGCCGGCCCAGCCTGCCGGTGGGTCGTGTGCTGCCAGAGGGAGGACTGGGTGGCTTGTACCACATGGGTCTGGGGTCCTAAGGGGAAACGTACCTGCCTACCTTTTAAAGTAGCCTTAAAAACTGAAGTGTGTTTCCATGGCGACAGGCCTGTTGGAGATGGTGGGGAGGCAGGAATGACAGCTGGGGGTGTGTGGCCTGTCATGGGGCAGGGTCCTGCCCTCTGCCATCTGTGTGGGCGCGGGGTGACCCCAACCATCAGTCCCAGCCCCACGGTGTTGGGGCCAGTGTGCTGCTACCAGGCTGGTCCCATGTCGTGTTGCTCTGCTACCTGCATTTCTGCCCTCCTCCTTCAGTCTGTGCCTGCCTGTTGGAGGAGGGAATTGGATTTTGGGAGTTGCCTCCATCTGGTTCAATGGCACCCAACGTCTGCAGCGGTTTTCATCTACATATTCCCAAATATGGGGTCCCAGAGTTCCAGGTTACAGGGAGGCTGAGAAAAAAGGCCCATCTTGTTTGGCACGTGATCTTCAAGGCAGGTTCAAGCCATTCAGTGTCTATTTCTGTCTTTTTTTTTCCTTGCCAAGTCTCTGAAAACCTTACTGAAAATCTTATTTAATGTTTCCATTCGACTGTTACAGTGGAGTTGAATGATCACTCTGACTCCATAAGCACCTTCTTACTGACTGTTGCAGGGGAACAATTAACTTCTACCGTGAGCCATCCTTGTTGGCCACTACAATGGTTTTTACAACCATTAAATTGACCTATTCATGTAAATGTAAATCTTACATAAAGTTTCTTCTAAAAGTTCTAGAAGTGTAAAAACTTCTTCAGAGGAGTCTTGTTGACCTCAAGGTGAGAACCCATTTAAATGTCCATAAGATCAAGGTCCCAGCACTGATTTTCCTCAGCTATTCACTCTTCTGACTTCACTGTACTGAGGGTATTTCCCCAGCTTTGTGCAGAAGAATTTTGAGAATACTCGCGGGTTATTGCTAGTGTGGAGTCTCTGAAGGCATCAGTCTCTGAATCTCCAGCCCATGAAAACATTGGCAAGAGTAGCTATTTTAAAGCAGATGTGAGCAAGACGTCTGGCATTTAGTTTGGTTTTTTACCCCCTGAGAATCTATTCTTATATTGAATTTTGCATAAACTTTTAAGACTAAAGATACTAGAGAGAGAAATTTATAATCCTGACCTGCTTGCTTGCAGCTGGCTGATCATGTGCTTGTGTTTGCCTGAACTGGTAAATGAGGCACCTGGCCTGGGGAGGACTCTGGGCTCTAACATGAAAAAGGAGGCTCCATCCCAGGTACCAATGAGCTGCACCAGTTGCACTGCCACTTCTCTCCCAGCAGATTTCCGCTTTCTAGTTGTGAGCCCTAGGTTTTTGAGACAACTGCAGAGTAGCTGTGGAGAAGCACAGTGGGTTGTTGTGAAGTGGAAAATGCTTCTTGGAAGGAAATGAAGAAGCTGGGAGGGGAGGCTGAGAGTAGGACTGATGGATAAGGGAGATCTCTTGCTGCGCATCAGGGCGTTTTGGGGCACAGGTTCACTTCTGACAGTTGTGAAAGGTTAGGGAAAAAAGCTTTATTTGCTGTTGTGGTTGATGCATGTCTGTCTTCAGTTTTCCGGTCTCTGCAGCCTTTTGGAAAGGGAGGGCTGTGGGTCAGACAGCCAGGAGCAAGGCAAGAACTAGGTTTCAGCAGGGACTATGGTTAGCCTCCTGCGTGACTTGAAACGCGACTGTAGGGTCCTTCCCTGCCCTCTGATGCTTCATCTTGTCAGCCATAGGCACAAACTTTTGGACAGTAGCTGCCCCTTGTTTTGGACGCATGAGAACCAAGTACAAGTAATAGAGAGGGGGTGGTGTGCTGCAGGAACTTGAGGGCAGAGGCTGCAGCATCTGCATGGGGCTCTTCATCCTCTGGGATCAGCTCAAGTGATAGAGGGTGGTTTGCAGTGGGTGTGTGTTTGGTTTTATGTGGTGGCGTTTTGTTTGTTTTTTTTTTTTAGTTTGTGAGCCTGGCAGGGTTCAGACAATGGAGAGCCGATTAGTCGCTTGTATGGTTTCTCTCCTCAACTTGTGGCCAGGTGGCTGGGTGCCTTCCTTTCCCCGTCCCCTGAGGGCTCTGCTTTTGAGACTAGTCTTAGTCCCCACCTGCCCCTCCTGTTCGTGCTTTCCTGCTCAGGAATGCTTTGAAGTTACTGTTGGATTTGAAGCAGCTTGTCTTGGCTAAAGGTTTGACAGACTGACTGCAGAAATGGTATGTTTCTATTTTACGCTTAGCTGTGCCAAAACTGGGGCTGGCCCCAGAATGTAACCTGTATTGTTACTGAGTTTTTTACTGCTGAGGTTATGTCTTCCTGTAATGTGCTTTTAAACCCCGAATTTTCCTTTTAATCTTCAACTCCATCTCCCTACATGGTTTGAAAAAGAAAAAAGCAAACAAGAAACCCCAAACAAACAAACAAAACCCTGAAAATCATTGTATGTGGCTCCGGCTTCTCCAGGGCAAATAGCCTTCCGTCAATAAATCCAGCTCTCATCTCAGGCAACGCTTTGTACAGGAAAATGCTTGCTTATGTGTGGAGTCCACAAGCAGTAATTTGTGTCATCTACTGTCTCTTCAAGTAGAGGCACCTGTGGGCTTGAGGCTCAGGGTGGTGTTCATACATTTTATATTTGTACATATATATACACACACATTGTATATGTGTATTTATGGTGTATATATGTCATATTTATTATATATTGTAGGTTATATTATATATCTTAATTTTATATTTTATATAGGCTATAGAGAGAGATGCACTGTCCTGCTTCTGTCTTTTTTTCTGCAAATACTGAATCAATGAAATGTGAACAATGAAATTGGAACATCCTCTGCCCTGACTTTAAAGAATATGGAACTGGAACAAAGAAATTCACTTGTGTTTTGCAAAGATGCTGTCAAAGCCATACTGATAATTTTTGCAAGCACATTCCAATGCAGCTTTTTTCCTGTGTGGGTTTTTTGTTTTTATATGTTTATTTAGGAAATGGGAAGGAAACCATTTGGTGGTGATAGCCTGTATTTGGGTGATTTTTATGCAGAAGAGT